CCTACTGTTCACTTGACTCAGTTATCTATCACTTTAATATCTATCTATATCCCTTCAATCAATCATCCCGCAGGCTTTATCTGCCAGGCTTATATACTAAAAAAGGGGGCCGTCCCGAACGCACTAGGAAATGCATGATCATTCGAGAAACTAACCACGTTTTAAGAGCGTCCCGTGACTTCCGCTGTCGTAATACTACGTTTATTCACGACCATGGTTTCGTGAATGAGTGGTGTATTTGTGAAACGCACAATTGTCTTGTTTGTTTCCTCAATTTTGTAGAAGGATTTTATTTGAAATACAGGCCTTACGTGATTAAAGAACGCACATTCAAATGTTTAGCCACTGTAAATATAGTTTAAGTCACCATTTTAAAGCGATTATCTTTGGGATACGAATCGCTGCCAACATGAATAGGTAATCCACTACATTCATCACATCCTCCTGGGAAAGTGAAAACATCGACCGTCTACATCTATGAAATATGGCAACAGTGCTGCGAGAAAACTTCACGACAGTCAACTCAGTGTAGTGTGAAAAAGTTGATGGTATGTACAGTATTCTATAAACAAACACTTTTTATGTCTTATATTTATTTGTTCTTGCAAGCTCAATTAATTTAATCATCTCGACTCTTAAGCGTTAAACATCAAGAGTTGCTTCGCGCATTACCTAAACTCCTAAAGCAACACGTAAACAGAATAAAGGAAAAATTGCCAGAGCTAAAAATTATTTCGTCACACGTATTTATGAATGTACCGTTCCCACAAATATGAGTCATTACTGAGAAAGTTGGCACCCAAAAAATGTATCAGGAATTTACTAACACACTTATAGCACCTATACTTTTATTATTTGATAGAAAGGGGTACTAAAAACTGTTGAAATTTAAAAATAATGAGGATCTGATACATCAGCTTTATCAGCTAATGTATCAGAAAAACCAGTTGATGAAAAACCAGTGCATAAATGATTAAACTTAATAGATCATGAAATTCTGTCAATAATATGATATCACCCATAGATGATAAATCAAAGATATTAAGTCAGTTGCAACAGCGTCATTAGACCTTTCACTCACAAGCCATAGAACCAATGGAAGTCAAAATGTATTCATCTATATTGATTGTTTGTATTATATGACAGCAATATTCATGTAGTACACTTGTTCCGCATATGAATGATAGTTTGTTTATTGTATATTACATCACAGCAAAGTGTCTTTAGTGCATTTGATTTACATATTAATGACAGATTGTTTCAGCACTTGAGTTCCCGTGTGTCTTGAAGATTTCTTGATTTCGTCGATTTTAGTACAACTATAATCATGTTTATCAATTTAGTGTTTCGGGCAAAAAGTGTAAAGTTCACCTAAGAACTTGTTCAATCACGAGGTCTCAAGCTGTTGTGTAAAGCAGATATCGAAAGAGAGACAGTGACCACGTGCCACTTTCTATTGTGTTACAGATTACATAGTCAATTTATCAGACTTATAGGGTCTTTGTGATTTATGTCATTATTCTGGTACACTCGCCAAACAACATTAACAATCTTCTGATAACTAGTGGCACACGACCTTCTTTTATTTAACTCATCGTGTCGTACTTTTTTGTTCTAGCACAGCACAGTACCATCATGGGGATCGTGTTCACTTTACCTTTGGCCTATAAGATTCGGCATTTGTTCAACAATATTTCTGCGTGTAGCAAGATAAATCCAGGTGAGTATTGTATAAACACAACCAAGTCCTATTTGTCTCTTTCTTATCGATAATTTCTTCCCGGTGTGATAGAATTCCAGGTAGTCTCATAATACTTTTCTTTAGGCTTTGTTTGACTATTTATTCATTGCTGGAAAAATAAAATATCATATTATCATTATTATTTTATACGGTATTCTGCCATTTTTACTCATGTTCGGTGTTTCTATCTATAGTTCACTAAATAATTTAATCACCAAATGTATTAAAGTATTACACTGTTGTACCGATTAAAACTTTTAAAAACAGAGTCTAATTCTTATAAAATATACACGTTTTAATTAAGTCTACCTTTTATATTTGGAATAAAAACGTTCAAGCTCGTTTGATTGTTTTTCGTCTGACGAAGAGATTGTAAAAGACCTTGATTGTGATATCAGTTAAAAAAGTCATTTTTATTATATTTTAGCCTATAATATAAAATCTTTAAAATGTATATTTCCAGTCTTTGCTTTTTTCGCCATAGTTTTTGCTATTCTAATATCTTGCTTTTCATGTGTGTCTGTATTTCAAAGATATACGTTTTTATAAGAGAATAACAATCAGTTCACTTTCCTTACTGAGTTAAGGCTTCATGATAAAGTATTTCATTGAGTATTTAAGCTTGAAGTTGTTATATAAGAAAATAACAGTCACTCATTATCCTTGCTTAGTTAACGCTTCATGACAAAGAGCCCCCCCCCCCTCAGTGGCATAGCGATATATCTGCGGACTTACAACGCTAGAATCCGGTTTTCGATACCCGTGGTGGGCAGAGCAAAGATAGCCCATTGTGTAGCTTTGTGCTTAACTTCAAACAAACAATTATGACAAAGAACGAGAGTATTTTATGAACTTTTCGTCTCTTTGAAGCAAGAAACTCGCCTAGTTTCTACGTTCTAATTCAAACGCAGACAGTATATTTATAGTTCCAGGAACACCGTGTTTAATAATATATTGTTGCGTCAGCGATGTCACATGACTAGTGTCACGCCCCCTGCTTTCTGGAAATATCTTGTAACTTCGTGAATTGTCGGGAGATTACTAGATATAGGGTAGCCTGGTATATATAAGAGGGTGACATCGTGACGG